GTTGGCTTTTTTTTTCTCGGCGCTATTTGTACTTGACTAGTATTGTGTCAGTGTTCTCCTCTTTACCCAAACTAGATTTGTTTTTAAAATGCCGAAGAAAAAAGAAATAAAACAGAAAAACACACATGTTCTTGGTAGACGTTTGTTCATGGCGTAGTGTTTGGTACCTGCTTCCTCGACTTAATGTGACTTACCCTCCTTGAACTGATTTTATTCTACTGGTTTTGTGCAAGTTACTTCAATCAATTTTTTTTCGATGGTGGGGACGGGTGGGGGTTCCACTTGCAAATCCTACCTGTTTCGTTTCTCTCTATTGTTTCTGTTTATCAGTCTTGTTTTTTATTTGGTCTTTTCTTGTACCAAATAGCCCCATTTTTGTGACAATTTGCTTCTCCTGGCTCAACCACAAGCAAGCTTTCTCATTTTGGAGATAGATTACCGCTTGCCTATTTTTATGGTAACCGAACCCCCCAAATCTCGACTGTCGTGGCCAATTGAAAGGTCCTTCAGTGAGTGCGTCTGAGGCCGTACTTGTAGCACATGGAGGGTTTCCGCTTGGTAACAATTCCAATGGGCGCTGCAGAACAATGTGGTCGTTCGAATTTTGTAACGAAATTAATCAGTTTCATGGGAGATTGGCAGGTGCTCTGGGGTGCTTTGTTCTTTCTTTCCTGTCAAACGTGTATCGTCCTTATATCTCATCCTTTTGTGTGTTTGTTACTCTTTTGTAATATCACTAATCGGCAGCACTTATATGGGCTAATTGGATTACAAGTGCCTAAAAACTCATATTAAAACATGAAAACAGAGTAATTTTTACGTAGCCATCTGGGGTTGGACAAGTTAAGCAGATGATCAGTTTTTCTCCATTATTCTTTTTTTTTTTAAAGTGGGATTTTTTAACGCTCCATCGACCCAATTTAATCATTGAGGAGGCCGACTTCGACCCTGCTTGTCATGGCCAACCCGGACTGAGAAGGATATAATGTCCCAGTAGAAATTCCGAGGTACTCGATCAAAATTTCCCCCTCTCAGGAATCAAACTCGCGTCTTCTGTGTGCGACGGTGATGCGCCTCACTGCCACTCCACAGACCCCGGTATTAATTCGTCTATAGCACTATATTAAGTATGTTCTTTGACAGTCTCCACTCTGTTTTTGTCCTTTTGAGTCATGTTCTTTTCTGTCACTCGCTTGTGTCGCTGGCCTCCATTTCTCGGTCCTTCAGCATGGCGGTCCCTTATCTGATCCTCTTCGAAATTGTCAGCAGTGCCTTGTGCTTCATCAATCTTTTTTGACTTCTCGAATAGACGCTTACTGTACACAAACACTCGGCGGATTGTTCTCTCGCTTTTGTTGCTCTAGGTTTTTTGGTTCTGAATGTTTTGTGTTTGCTTGTTTCTTTTTTGTTGTTATGGTTGTTTTGTTTGTTTGTTTTACTTCTTTTGGACTGAATGTACTACATGTAGAAAGGAAATAATATGTGATGTTTTGAAGAAATCATGGTGAGAGACAGAATGACTATACTATAAAGCTAACATTTTTGTTCCTGAACTTTGTTGGCTCTGTTTTGTGTGTGTGTGTGTGTGTGTGTGTGTGTGTGTGTGTGTGTGTGTGTGTGT